GGGGGGGGGGGGGTAGTCACCTACCAAATAGCTTTGAAGGCGCAATAGTGGAGCAGAATATGTGGCGGTGTTTTGGGCGCTTCCTGACGGTATTGGGGCAATACATCTGCATTGAGGCTCATTAACTGTAACGATAAGACTTGGGTTACATTGTATTCATACGATTCTGTACACAAACACTAGTAATGACAGTGCATTCCGTATGGCACTGACACTACTACTGGTGTTTTGACGATCAGAATAAGCCATAAAAGCGAAAGCAAATTAAGCAAAAAGATATCTAAAGTAGGAGTTCGGCGGCTCTTAAGTAGCAATGCTTTGTCTAATTAATTATATTTGTATCTCAAGACATGGTTTTATCTCAAATGTAATAATAATTTTGTCTTAAAATCCTTTATCTAATATAACAGTAATTGTGTTTTTCTAAAACAATAAGTATATGCTTTCACTTTGGATCGTGAATTTAGACATACATTTCCTCATACAATACAAATACCCTAAATACATGGATGCCACTGCTATACTTACTTGAATGAAAAATATTATTAATTATTGTATTCTGTATACTAATATAGTTAATTTATACTTAATTAAATGAATTCATATATTCTTACAAAAATTAATTATTATAATCATTTTTTATAAACAATTTGATAACATAAATAAGTTTTAAAATAAAATAATCCATTTATTATTTCACAATTAAGCTACTTATGAATTAACTAAAAAAATTAAAGCCAGGATACTTAAGCAATGAAGCAATTTGATAAAAATACCTTGAATTCTTACAGAAAACTATCTATTAAATGGCCATTACATGTATGGAGAAAATTACGGTAAAAGAAATTGTATTATATTTACTGCATTTCTCTGCGGACTTGTATTTTAAGTGTCGAAACGATAATAAATCAAAATAAATAATAAACAGATATAAAGCAAAACAAAGGAATTGATGAAAACCCCTAAACCGCTGAGGAATAGACATTCGAGTCATTTGAATACCTGAGGGATTGCCAAAAAATAGACATAAAGAATGGCCAAAAGTATTGCAAAACTAATTGCATTCACTTCTAATGGAATTCTGTTTTTATATAATCATATAATCATTTCTTAATTCAATTTAATTCTATCTTTTAATTAGATTTCTGTCTCAAATTCAAAGAAGAAATATATCACTTCTTTCTCTGCAATTCATAAAACGTGAGCCAAATTGCTATAAAAAAATGGTGCAATAATAAAGAGAAAGTATATTATCTTAAATCCCGTAACGCTATGCTATTCCGCAAAGCTATACACATTGAGCTCATACGGACAAAGTGCACAATTATATCAATATTACTGTTTTGATCACTATTTTTATGCGTTAATTCCTGAAACTGTCTGAAATTCATATTCAACGACAGTTTAAGACAGCACTTCGTGTGATTTACCCAATGTAATGATAGCCTCTTATGTGTTAATGATTTGATTTTTTACGGAAGACATAAAAAGCAAAAACGACTGGAAATTGATTAGCATTTTGATGTAAAAGAAATGTTTGTCTAAAGTGAGGAATGGAGACAAAGATTGCTCTGAAGGGCCGCTTGTAATGGAAGTAAACATTTACCGGAAGTTGTGGTGAGGGAGAGGGTTTGCTGGGAGGGATACATACATGTCCGAGACTCGACTGTTTGGTGGACTCGGATTTGATGATTGGAAGGTGTGATGAGAACTGTTGCGCTAAAACAGACCGACTTCTGGTGACAGATCGTGCGAGTCGTGCGAATTTGGAGAGCCCTTTGGCCGCGTCCTCCTCGATGGGCTGCTTCAGGGCTGTTATGTCGCGAAATGTGAGCAAAAAGAGGACCACAATATCCTTTTCGTTTTTGATGGGAGCGATGTGTAATAAAAGCCATAATGGAGTCCCTGTTTGCACATACATTTGCCGTCAGAATTGCAATTTTGTATCAAGAATCGTAAAAAAAATATTCTATGTTTTGATTGAATTCAACTTTTTCTTTATCTTATTGATAGTGAGTTTGTTTTTATTGTATATTTGAGATAATATTCTCGAAATTTGTACTTATTTTGTGTTTTGAAAGAGCGCTCGAATGCACTCCAGAATACATAATATGATTTGAATTGTGTTTTTGCAAACAATTTTCTATTACAATAACCAATAGAATTGAATAAAAACCGGAATGCATTTCTTATCGATTAAATATAAGTTACATTGACTTCAAAATGTTAAAAATCCTATCAAATGTCCATTTCATTGCATTTCCCGACAGAAATACTATTTATAACAGTATTAGCGAGAAAGTGATTCACAAATCAAATAGAGTCTATTTATAGTCTCAATGTATTTTGAGTGTAATTTATAAAAATGAAAATCTATGTCAAAGCGTATGGAAAATGGTTTAGTTATTGTGTAATAATAAGTTTAGGTCAATAGAGGCATACATTGCATACATTGGCAGAGATAAAGAGTATAAGAGAGTTAAAATTGTTAGATGTATGCGAACCCCACCCAAGCATTTGCCAAACAATCATAGCTTATGTCATCGCAACGATTCAACTTCAACCTTGTCCGACATATACCATGTAGTATATACCATAAAACATGCCATCCCTACTCTATGCACACTCTATCAGCTCATTTGCATCCATGTGCTCAAACAAACATTGCATACACAATATTCTCTATGTATTTTATTCATGATTTCTACATAAAAACATGAATACTGTAATAAATTTGTTAGTGTATTTTGTTGTAATATTTAATTTCAATATTTAGAGTGAAAATTAATTGAGAGCATTGAGAATGTGACAAATTGAGTGCATAGCTATGAAACCTACGGAAACCATACCAAATGTTTAGTATTATAATATAATATATTATATGAAAAACACAGGAATTGTGTTCATACTAAAAACGAAAGCTCATTCAATAGTATTGAATGGTATGGGAATGTGTATGTAAATTGTGATACACATTGAATTGTGGATCGGATTGCTTTGTGACAAAAGGACTAATTCTTTGATAAGAAAATCACTTACAATTGAATTGAATTGAATGCACACACAATAATAGATTAAATACAGTACCAGACCCTGGTATTGAATAGGTAAAGCCTAACACTGACTGCTATTGAGGCATTAAACGCCTTCAGAAATTCAATTTTGATTATGTGTGAAGACATGAATTTACGAATTAATCAAATACTGTATAATAAACGTTGAAAAGAAAAATGTGCTCAAATTTTTATTTAATTGAATGCCGAGAGAAATAGCTTTTCATTATATTATATTTATTATTGTGTTATATATAGAAAAATCTAAATTAGTTTAGTTTTTTCAAATATTTAATAAATTTATTTCCCAAAAATCAATTTTGAAGAAAATCCCAAAAATTTGAGACATATTTCTATGAAAAATTCAGTTCAAATTGAATCCATTGAATGGCTTTTCTGTTAGTTTGGAGTTTCAAAATGAAAAGTTACGAAATAAAAAAGAAAATTTTGATAAATTTTGGTAAATTTTATTGCACTCGCAAAATAACTCTTTTTGTAAATTTAATAGAATATATATGTTTGCAAACTATTCAAAGAAAATTACAAATAAAAGAAATAACAATAAATTCAAAACCACTGATAATACAAATGTATGCCATTATACTGTAGAGTATTATAGATGTAGTAAATGATCGGAACGTATAAATAAATGGCTCATTTAAATAGTGTATATTAATAATAGATTTTATATTGTATTCCGATATTTGTATTGTTATTATCATTCAAATGTTAATGAATTCAGATTCCATTAATGAAGGTCTTATAGATTGAACCTTTAATTATAAGTAAATATATTCTCAGTTCATATGAATTAAGTCTAAAGTGATTAATAGTTTTAAATTCACTCATAGATTAAATGAATTGTAAAGACTTTGATTACGATACTAATGTATTGTTTAAGAAAATGCTATTTGCTAAACATTTTATTATAATCTTTAAATAAGGGTTAATGAGTAGTATTTTATATAGTTTTACTAGTTAGACATTATACAAATCTAATGTTAAGCTTATTATTAATCGATAATTTACAAGAATAATAAAATTCTAAAACTCAACGATTAATTTACTCTATAAGTATTTATTAATTTTAATAAATTTGTATAAACATTGTAAAATAAATAATTATTAATTAATCTTACTTTTAGTATTTTATTTAATCCTATTCATAAAATTAATAACAAATATAAATGTTGTTATACTGAACAGTACTGTTTAATAAATTACAGCGTTTTGTAATAAATTTATTGAATAATAATCAATTGATTTATAGATTTCATCTAANTATTAAGCCATTCCAGAGAAATTTACATTATAGCCAGAAACAACCTTTCTATATTCCCTAATATATAGCTAACTTTATAACAAAAATTGCATAAATGAATTTTTCTAATATATCGTAAAAAATTGATTTTGAAAACAATGTCACATGTGTACAGTATTTTCCAAATAATCTAATTATTATCATGAGATTATTAATTTTATATTATAATATCAATTCTGTAATATAATATAATTATATGTATTGTGTGTAATAAATGCAGTTGTTTACCAAGGGTTGTTTTAATTAATTAATTTTTATTTTACTATGCAAACAAACAGATTGTATGATTGTATTTAGGTGTGGTCATGTTTTTATAAATGGTTTTAATTAGGTTTAGGTGTGGTTTACATTTTCATATTTAGTACATATAATGTTTGACAGGAGAGATAAATATCATTTTGAATATTTTATTAATTGTAGTAACTTTAACATAAAAATGATTTCAATAAAATATATTTTTAGAGATCTAATATGGCGAAAATTTAAAAATAACTCCAAATACAATTTTGATTTATATAACACTTAAATGTGTTTTTAATACATGCTCAATTATATTGTGTTTAATGGGATGTGTGTATCAAACGTATAAAATAAGTTTATTATACTTTTCGTACGAAACCACTACTAATGTAATATACGAATTAAAGGACAGGCTAACATTACCCGGTATTACATTTTGTATTGAAAATATCAAAATATTGGATAGCAAAATTTTATCGCAAAATTTTGATACAACTATAAGGGACTTGTTTAAAAAAATACCACCAATTAATAAATGGTTTTCATGTCGTGTCATTAATTTAGTGACAAATAATCAGGTTAATGTTAGTTGTGATTCAATTGCAAAATATAGGCAATCCCTTGGAGGTGGAATATATTGCTTGACACTATTCGCTCAAATTAATAACGAGTTAAATGACCAGTATAATATAGATAGAAATTCGTATATTTTAATAAATTTTAATGTCATGTCACGTGGTTACTATCTTATTTATCGATTACATTCCCGATATGAAACTGTATACTTGTATTTCATAGATAATGTATCAGGAATGAAGTCGGCATCAATAATTTTTAACAAGATCACAGTCAAGCATATGTCCAAAATCAACGACAATATGTGCGGTTATCGCGAGTCGAGTCAGTATTGTATCGTCAAATGTATGGCTAATCGCACGCAACATATGCGCGAATACCCGGCAAACATGTTATGTTACGATCGGAACAGTAGTTTGAAAATATCCCATATGTCAGTAGATATAGCATACATGGATTACTGTCGTATTCTGTGTAATAATATTAATGATTGCATCAAGGAGTACTTTATTACTGAACATAAATCTATAAATCAACATGGTTTAACATTTAAGCCTAAAAACGTGCCATCGTTGGTGTACGAGATATCCCTTAAGATGTCTGCCGAGGAATACGTGTGTCTTATGGCAAGTGTTGTGAGTCTATGGTTTGGATTCTCTGTTATTATGTTTACGACATTTATGTCTGAAATGTTTATTAAAATTAAAGCTTACTATATCTTAAAATTATCAACCCAGTATAACCTATCGCCTATTTTCAATATTAGGGTATTAAATAGAGGTGCAAATAATTGATTTTATGTATGATATACTGTTGGCACATAAAATGCATTAATGCACAGGTATAACAAGCCTGTATTTTGTTTTGAAATTATACAATAGTTTAATTAAAATAATCAAATAAAATTATTTATATATAAATGTCTACTTATTCATTACTGGCGCAAATAAACTTTTTCTTAATCAGATTAGTATCACATTTTCATTTAAATCTATTTATATTTGAGGTGTTGATAAATTAATTCATAAGTGATTCAAATAATTCTCGTAAGATATATTATTCATTTAAAATTAATTTCAGATGGCTACAATATCTAACTATTATCTATGCCATAGACGTCCAAAATTTTTAAAATCCACAAATTAGTGTTTTATAATATTAATAAACTTATTAACTATTCCAAACATTACTATTTTATGAATTAAAATTGACTACGATGTGTTTTGAAAACATAATTTTCATTTGAATAATAATATGAAAATTTATGAAATAACAAAATATTATTCAAATGATTAATACATTAATTTAAAAGATTTAAAACAAACCATAAACATATTTGAGAGAATAAGTAAACTTTCAATGATTTATCACTTTGTTTAGAAATATTATATAGTAAAGCATTGACACATAATTTAATCCAAAGTTATACCTTGCTATGAGTAATAAAAATTAATATCAATTTGAAAAGTTATTATTAATATTAATGTATAATTCCTGATTCATAAAATATTAGTGTTGTAAATATTATATTAAACTATTAATGCATACATCGCTAGTTGGCTGCAAACGGTCATATCTGTGCGCCTATGATCTATGGTATATGGTATTATGAATTTTATATTATAAAACCAATTTTGTAATATATTATGTATTGTGTGTTATAAATGCAACTGTTTACCAGAGGTTGGTTTATTAAATAATTTTTAATTTACAAAGCAAACGAATGTATTT